TTATACATGTGGGAGCATGCAAAAACGTATTTCCATATAGGCCATGTTGAAAAAAAAGAAAAATAAAGTGAGCAAATTATACTTCAGTTTTTACTTAGATTCATTAGTTCTCTCTTTGGAGGTAGGAGGAATTATTTTTCATCCTAATTCCTTTGGAATTTTCTTTGGTCACTGTATTAATCAGAGTAGCCAAGTCTTTCACAGTTCATCATCATTATAACATTGCTGCTACTGTGCACAATGATCTGGTTCTTCTCACTTCACTTTGTATCAGTTCACATAGGTCTTGTTATGTTTTTCTGAAACTACCCCCCTCACCATTTCCCAAGTGCAACAGTATTCCATTATAATCATATACCACAGCTTGTTCAGCCATTCCCCAATTGATGACCATCCCCTCAATTTAATTTCTTGCCATCACAAAAAGAGCTGCTATATTTTTGTATACATAGGTCCTCTTTCTTTTTCTTTGACCTCTTTGGGATACAGACCTAGTAGTGGTATTGCTGGATCAAAGATGTATGCATAGTTTTCTAGCCGTTTGGGCCTAGTTCCAAATTATTCTCCAGAATGGTCAGACCATTTCCCAACTCCACCAACAATTTATTAGTGTACTTATTCTCCCTTATTCCCCTCCAGTATCTGTCATTTCTGATAGGTGTAAGGTGGTATCTCAGAGTTGTTTTGTTTTTCTCTAATCAATAGTCATTTAGGCATTTTTTTCATATGACTATAAATAGCTTTAGATTTTTTTCTTCTGAAAACTTCTTGTTTATATCTTTTGACCATTTATCAGTTGGGGAATGAATAGTTCTTACTTTTATAAATTTGACTCAGTTCTATCCTAAGTATATATTTGAGAAATGAGACTTTTATCAGAGAAACTTGCTGTGAAATTTTTTGATATTACTTTGTCTAAGGTACCTTTGGCAAAATGTAGTTTCCCTGATTAGCCATTTTAATTAGGTCTATTTTTGTTTTTGCTTTGTCTGAGATTGTGATGGCTATTCTTGCCTTTTTTTTTTTTTTTTTTTTTTAGCTGAAGCATTTTAGTTTTTTTTCCGCCTTTATTTTAACTCTGTGTGTGTCTTTCGGTTTCAAGCGTGTCTCTTGTAAACAACATATTGTTGGATTCTGACTCCCAATCCATTCTGCTAGCTGCCTTCATTTTATGGTTGAGCTTATCCCATTTTCATTCACAGTTATGATTGCTAACTCCGTATTTCCCTTCCTCCCATTTTCTTCTGTTTCTTTCTTCTTCTTTTTTTATCCTGTCCCTTCTAAAAAGTCTATTTTACTTCTAACCACTGCCTCCCTTAATCTGCCCTCCTTTTTATCTCTCCCCTCCCCCTTTATATTATTCTCTTCCCTTCCTATTTCCCTATTGGGTACGTTATATTTCTATACACAGCACAGTGTGTACATATATTCTTCCCTCTTTGAACTAATGCCAATGACAGTGAGGTCCAAGCATTGCCTGCTTCCTCCCTTTTCCTTTCTATTTTAAAAGCTCATCCTTGCATGCCTCTTTTATGTGAGAAAAATTTTCCCATTCTACCTCTCCCTTCCTCCTTCTCCCAGTGCATCCTTCTTTCTCAACCCTTCAATGTTTTTTGGAGATCATCCCAACATAATCAGCTTGTGGCTTCTGCCTACCTAAAGTCCTTTTAACCACCCTAATAATGATAAAGTTCTTAGGAGTTACATGTTTCATCTTTCCATATAGGAATGTAAACAGTTTAACTGCATTGAGCCCTTCATGATTACTCTTTCATGTTTACTTTTTTTATGCTTCTCTTGAGTCTTGTGTTTAAATGTCAGATTTTCAGTTCACCTCTGGTCTTTTTATCAGGAATGCTTGAAAGCCCTCTTTTTCATTAAATATATGTTTCCCTCCCTGAAGGATTATATTAAGTTTTGCTAGGTAGGTTATTCTTGGTTCTAATTTTAGCTCCTTTGCCTTCTGGAATATCATATTCTAAGCCCTCTGTTCCTTAAATGTGGAAGCAACTAAACCTTGTGTGATTCTGACTGTGGCTCCACAATATTTTAATTGTTTCTTTCTGGTTGCTTGGAGTATTTTCTCTTTCAACTAGGAAGTGTGGAATTTGTCTATAATATTCCTGGGAATTGTCATTTTGGGATCTCTTTCAGAGGTGATGAGTGGATTTTTTTTTCAGTTTCTATTTTACCCTTTGGGTCTAAGATATAGGGGCAGTTTTCCTTGATAATTTCTTAAAATATAATATCTAGGCTCTTTGATTATGGCTTTCAGGTAAGTCAATAATTCTTAAAGTATATCTCCTTGATCTATTTTTCAGGTCAGTTGTTTTCCTATGAGATATATCACATTTTTTCTATTTTTTTTCATTCTTTTGACTTTGTTTTATTGTTTCTTGATATCTCATGGCATCATTAGCCTCCACTTGCCCAATTCTAATTTTTAAGTAATTATTTTCTTCAGTGAATTTCTATACCTCTTTTAACATTAGGCCAATTCTGTTTTTTAAGGTATTATTTTCTTCAATGTTTTTTGTGCCTCTTTTACCAATCTGTTAATTCTCTTTTCATATTTTTTTTGCATTGTTCTCATTTCTTTTCCCAATTTTTCCTCTACTACTCTTACCTCTTTCTTTAACTCTTCCAGGAATCTTGTTGAGTTTGGGCCTGATTAGCAGTTTTCTTTGAGGCTTTGATTTTAACTGTTTTCACATTGTTGTCTTCTTCTGAGTTTGTATCTTGGTCTTCCCTGTCATTGTTGTAGCTTTTTATGGTAAAATTCTTTTTGTTGTTGTTGATGTTGTTTTTGTTTGCTCATTTTCCCACCTATTTCTTAACTTTTAACTTTATGTTAAAGTTGGGCTCTACTCATCTTGGGGTGGGGAGGCACTGTCCCAAACTTTAGACTCTCTTATGCTGCTGTTTTTAGAGATACTACTGGGCGTCTGCAAGTTTTCAGTGCTTCCAAGGTGGTGTGATCCTGGGAAAGGTATGGTCACTTATCTCTTGATCTGCACTCTGGTCTTTACCTAGGAAGGGCCTTTGGTATTCTGCAGCCAGAAGCACTAGTGCTCTCTTTGCCTTGGAACTATGAACAGGGGCCCTGCTCCCTTGTGACCCACCCCCAGCATTCCTCTTCACCCTAGAACCATGACTCAAATCTGCATATGAGCAATAGAATTGCTGAGCAGTGCTAGCAAAGGGTTCCCTGTAACCTCTTTTTGGTCAGTTGTCTGACTCTGGGCTGAGAGCTTTTGAAGCTGCTGCTGTTGCTGTCACTGTTTGTGTGGGATCTGGACAGGTTTCCAGCCTGGTGTTACAAACGTCTCCTGCCAACCTCCTAAGTTTTCTTAGGCCAGAAAACTATCTCACCCCAACCTTTTGTTGGCTCTGCTGCTCCAAAATTTGACCTGAGGCATTATTTTAAAGTTGTATGGAGGGGAAAGTTCAAAGAGTTCAGCTGGGTTGCCTCTAATCTGCCATCTTCAGTACTTAAACTTAATAAAAATTGTCCCATTGGAATTGAAAATGTAGGATGGATTTAAAGTGAATGGAAGCCATAATTTCTAAATAAAGCTATATAGTTGCCATATCATCAATACTCCCTAATTTTTCTTTCCCTGCTTTTTCCATCTTATTGAAGAGATAGTGAAATGTCATAGTTCAGGAAAAGGACCACAATTCAATGACTTTAGACTCCAAAGTAATAAGTTCTTAACCTGGGGTCTATGAACTTGTTTTTTAATATTCTGACCACCATATTTCAATTTAACTGGTTTCCTTTGTAATCCTATGTATTCTATGCATTTAAAAACATTATTCTGTAAAGGGATCCATAGGTTTCATCAGACTGCCAAAAAAGGTTAAGAATCCCTATTTTAGAGGTATTTGGGACCGAGGGCTTAACTCTCCTTGGAAAGAGGTATACTGCTTTATAATTTCCTCCAGAAGAAACATCACTATATTCCCAAATGAGATAGTATGCAAGTTGACTTGTGAGGATTCAAGACTTTTCTAGCCCTCATGGGACTGATTTAGGAGTAAGGTATGTAGATTATATATGGCACAAACACAGAAATCTATAACTTGAACTGTAAGCATATTTTATTACTGTTGATTTCTCATTCATTTATTTTTATTATACTAGACTCCAATAAAATCATCATCTTTTCTCTGCTTACCACAGTTACTTCTTTATCACCAACAGATAACCATTTAGGATATTAAATTAACTCATTGCCAATTTCCAAGTAATAGTGAAGATATTCAAATAGAACAATGCAATCTAACATCATTACGTAATTATAAAAATTGTCACAAAATTCCTTTTAGAAATAATATATTCTGATTAAGTAGCTAAGCATATGTCATCAGGGCATTTCTAGTGAATTGTACTAATAGTCAAATATTGCTGGGAAGAAAATGGAAAAACAGTGTAGGCTTTGTATTTTTTTTTCCCTACATCAATATGAAGTCACAAAATGGGTATTAAAACATTGACTTTGTAAACCACTGGCAACTATTTAGAAACCATTAGGAGGCTTAATATTATGGCTATGCAGGGTACATTTTGTCCTTTCAAAAGAAAGAATCTAGAAACTAAATTTGAAATAGGGCTCCTGGTGAGTAAAACCCTTTTCCCTTTTCCATTTGCTTCTTCTTGTGTGTATGTGTGTTGGGATTTTTTCCCCCTTTTTAAATCTTAGCCCACCCAATGGTCTCTGGCAGCTTGCTACTGCCCAATGGGGTCACTCTGATTTTTGAGCCAGGGGATGGGTTATTTGAGAGCTCTTTCCTTCAAAGTTAATGTCCATTCTACTTTATGCACTAGCCAGATGGAATGACTGCTGTCCATGAACTGAGGGGGTCAGTTAGCACCCACTCCTCCAAAGACCAAAGCCATTTTTTTTTGGCACCAAGAGAACATAACTAGGACCTTTAGCTGAAAGGGACCATTTTCAAGCAATAAAGTGATTTGGTACAAAAGTAAATGGACTCACCCCAGGTAAGGTTTTAATATTGTGCAGTGCATTCTGAGCCTCAAGTGCAGCTTTTCTTGTATAAAATGTTACGAAACAACAACCTACAGAGAGAAATGAAAAGGTTTTTAGAAATGTCTGTGAACAGGTTTGCTTGATGGCGATGAACAAATCATATACTTTAAAAGAATGTACAATTTAGAAATAATAAAGAGCATGAGAACAGTAATAACCTCTCAATCATTGACACTTTGCCTTTCATTCTAAATCACATTTATTCTCTTTATCCAAGTTGAAGAAAAAGGAGTTAAGCTCATCTACTACTGCGAGCAATGCTGGTATTTCAGGGAGTTTGAAGGTGGCAACTAAAGGGAAGGGTAGTTAATCAAAATGACAAAATGACACAATCACTTGGAATAAATTCTTTTTATAGTGCTTTTGGAGTTCCCACCCTTAAGACTTAGATGATTACATTGTCACTGCATTTTAAATTAAGTTAGAAATGATTTGGAAAACCCCCAGTCAAGAGCCGGTAACAACTCATGAAGCCTAAGATGTCCAGGATACATAGACTGGCTACTATTAATATAACCCCTTCCAGACACTACAAGTGAGTGCCTGCTCATGTGACCGGGGGCTGGATTCTGTTGTCACCTCTCTCCCAGCCTCAGCCTCATCTTCTAGAAGAAAATACTTGTAAAAATGTTATCGATGTTAAGTAAGGTACATATTTTTGCTAGGTTTCAGCTTTAAAAAGACATAAAGGTAAATGTCGATGAAAAATTGATGCTTTATCTGACCTGTATTTTTCTTGGTAAACTTGGAAAATTGAGGGAGGAATAAGTGGCATTATGCACACTTTCTGATTATATACATATACATACATATATATACATATATATATATATAATTTTACTACCAAGGCACAAAGGTATCCTAATGTACAGTATGTATTAAGGGATCAGAAGAGATTTAAGAGCTCTCAAAGAGTTGCCAAAACACAGCAAGTAATATATATGGGGGAAAGATAAAACACTTAGGCATCATCCTTGGATGAGGATGTAAATAGGACAAAGAGCAGGACGGGAGACAACTGTCATATATAAGGGTGCAAAGGACATCACAGACAAGGTTTTTGGTGACAGCAAAGTGGATTCTGTGAGTTATCAAAAGCTTATACATTGGCATTCCAGTTTTTAAAGAAAAAAATTTACTCAGAAGGATTATAGGAAAAGAAGCAGTGGTACCTTTTGCAAAGAAATGAAACAATAGATACATTTAAGATGCTTCTTTACTCTACCCAGAAGAGAACCATGTAAATTGTTTATGTAGTTTCACAGGTCTGGACCAAAAAATTAAATAAAAAAATTTTAATGTAGCCTCACACTTAACTTAGCTACATACAAAAAGACACAATCCTTACAATTATAACACAGTACAACAGCAGTTTCTTGGCATATACAAAGTATTTTTCATCAAAAGATCAAAAAACACTTTAAGTGTATCCTTCCAATAAAAGACTCAACAGATTATGCAGACCTTCACTAACAGAGGGACAGTCTTATTTGAGTCTCCCAGTTTCATCAACTGGACTAAGTTGACTAGAGTCAATTTATTGAGATTTATCCTCAAAGAGCTAGGGAGCCACAGGAGGGTCTGAAATGGGGAAGTGACATAATTGTATGGTCAAAGCAACAAAGAAGAAAGATGATTTATAAATGAAGGGAATCTTGTAATGTCAGTTCATAATCATGTCTTCTTATGTGCAAGGCCAGCATTGGGATCCTTCTAACCTTAGCCACATGCTGAACTTTGAGGGATGTCCCCCCCAAATTAAAAAAAATAAAACCCAAGCAACCACCCCTCCATCTAAATGATATTCCCCACCTGCCTCCATGCCTAAAATTCTACCCTTAGATGTTAATTTTTCTGGATTTAAAAGGGAATAGTTTAATAAGCTACTCTCTTTTAAACTACAATATCCCTGGGAAGGATAACATATTAAGCGATTAGCCTGCTATTAACAACTTCATGTGCATTATTACTCCCATCAGATTCTTTCCTTAATGAAAAGGAATCAAGGGAATACAGGAGTCTTGGTGTGTTTTTTTTGTTTGTTTGTTTTTTGTTTTTTGGAAGGAGGAAGGCTTATTTCAGAGCCTGGGACAAGCAGCCCGTAATGGAGGAACTCCAATGAATCACATACAGGCATTCAAAATCTAGTAGGATATAGTACACAGTACATAGAAAAAGGTCAGACAGCATCCAAAAACAAACTTTTCCTATTTTACCTTTGTGTCTAAAGGCAAACCCTGCTTGTCTAGCCCTGCTTCACCTATGAAGGGTTTTTTTCTCATTTAAAACTTAGGTCCTCTTCAATAAATGCACAAAACCCATCTCTTTCTCATTTTCCCCATTCCAAAGAAACTGGATTTAAACAAGAAGATACTAAACCTGAGATCCTATATCTTCCTGATATAAGTTTCGATTGAAATTCATGGGAAAGCTCATTTGATCACACAAATAGTAAAATTTTATTTCCCTATCACCTCTACAACTGTCATTTCACAGACAGATAATGATTGTGAATGAGAGCTCTGGGTTCTTTTGGCTCCTGGTCCACCTAGGGAAAATCACTTACCTCCTCTGTACATTAGCCACCTTACCTCTGATGTAGTACTGAAAAGCTAGTGGTGCACATCGTTTCACCAAAAATTGAATGGAGGCATACACATTCCTTGACTCAATATAGAAAAATTTTTTTAAATTGGGTTTGTTCTTTATCTCTGCCTAGTAGGAAAGCTCTCTGCTTCATTTTGTGTACATATTCAAACACTCCACTCGAAGGAGTATTTGATCAAGCTGTCTAAATTTTGCAGAATAAATATGTGGAAGTACAAATTGAAACTGCCATCTTTAGGCACAGCCATTTTGATTTTGGTTACCAGTGGATTTAATTTCCCCTGTTCCCAGAATGAATGGCTCAAAAATGGGGAAAAGTGTTTTAAAGATTATTGTTTCTGTCCACTGGCCAAGTCAACAACCACAATCCTTCTGCTCACAATTTGGTGTGTTCTCTTAAAATTTTAAATTCATTTATATGAAGACATTATTTAACTGAAGTAAGAGGAGAAATACGATTTTCGATGATAGAGTAATTACCATGACAATGTATCAAGGTACTACTATAAATTCTAGAAAAAAAAAACCATTAAGTCTCAATGGAGATGAAATTTTCTTTCCTACCTGTCCTAACTGGATATACCACTGTTAAGGGAATCACCTGTCTCATAGGTTGCCCTGAACCAGCTGTAACTCTGGTTTGAAATTCCTTGGCTTCATTTCCAAGGTGGCTAGAATACCAGATGGTTCAGAAATCTGATTATGAGAACAGGTCTTTCTCCCTTCCCAAGTCTCAAAACCACTGTGGTAACCTATGTGGTTAAACAAATCCACTGATGTGGTTCCAAGGTCAGTCCCTCAGGCTTGCTTAGATGTCAACCTTCTGTTCAGGGGGAAAGGATGGATGGGAAATCAGAAGAGATGGAAAGGTCTTGCTTCAGACTAAAGAGTACCTACGAGGCCTCTGGAATGCCACCAGGGCAAATGGGTTCAACAATCCAGATGGTCTGCAGGCCATAACCATCTTACCTCATCCCCAGACAGGCAGTCTTCACTATTCTCTGTTTTGCATTTTATTACTGCCTCATTTCATTTAATACTCTCTACTAAACACCTGTAATTCATTTTTCACAACCTTAACCTGCTCATCTGATGGCTTCCGACAATGAAACTAAGTCTATTCAAACAAAAGCAACAACACAATCCATACTCTTTTGCTATACACATTTGATAGGTGAGTAGTGGATAGAGCACTGGCTTAGAATCAGGAAGACTCATCATCATGAGTTAAAATCTGGCCTCAGACACTTATTAGCTGTGTGACCCTGGGCAAGTCATAGCCCTGTTTGCCTCTGTTCCTCATCTGTAAAAAGTGAGCTGGAGAAGGAAATAGCAAACCCCAAAATGAGGTCATGAAGGGATGGACATGACGGAACACCACCACTACCACTACCACCAACATCACCACTACCACCACCAATACAGTTTTGAAGAACATAATGCTTCATAAAAGTTGGTTATTGCTGCACTCTGGTTTTGAAGCAGAAGACAATCTGATAATGATAGAGAGATATCAAAGTTCACTTCTTTTCATTTTGCATACAAGCCCCATATTCTCTACAGTATGCACCACTGGCTTTTAACTACTCTGTCAGAGGTAAGGCAATTAATGTGCAGAGGAGTTAAGTGATTTTCCTGAGGTTTACCAGGAGCTCAAAAAACCCAGAGCTCTCATTCACAATAGGGAGGAATATTCATGCTGTGACTTGAGGGGTGGTAAGAGACTCCCAATTCCAAATACCTCCTTCAAAGTCTTCAGTAATATCTAAATTTAGACCATACACACTCTTTTGATGACTACTGCTAAAATAAAAATGTGCTAAATGGGAGAGATAACCCATGATCTTTGCCTTCAAACCCATCTCTCTTTAGAACTTTCCAATTTCTGTTGAGGGCACCACAATCCTTTCAGTAATTCAAGTTCCCAATCTGAGAGTTAACCCTGACTCTTCCTTACCCTACATATCCAACCAGTTGCCAAATCTTGACAATTCCACCACCTTGACACTTGTCATGTTCATCCCTTTATCTATGCTAACTCAGCAACCATCTCCAAACGTGTATATACAGAAGAAATATCAAGAGAATGTAAGTAAATACAAAATATTGAAACATAAGGTAGTTTAGGTGGTAGGACACACAACTGGGCTAGGAGAGATCAGGAAAGGCTTCGAGTAGAAGGTGATGCTTGCACTGCATCTTGAAGGAAGAGAGCAATGTGATGAGGTGGAGGTAAAAAGGGAGTGCCTTCCAGCTATATGGGATGGTCAGTGCAAAGACATGGGATGAGAGATGGGAGTATTATGTGAGGGACATCTAATTAACTTCAGTCATACAAGGGTTCTGAGGGGACTGTGCTGAACAGTTAAGTTCTAAAGAGAGGGAGAGGAGGAGTTCTGTAACACAGGATACTACCAAAAAG